CTTTCTTTCTTTCTTTCTTTCTTTCTTTCTTTCTTTCTTTCTTTCTTCTTTCTTTCTTTCTTTCTTTCTTTCTTTCTTTCTTCTCCCTCCCCCCCCTCTCTCTCTCACACACACACACCTGTCAGCCTTCATTCCCTCTCACTCCAGGCACTTTACTCACAAGGGGAAGTGAATCCAGCATTAGAGAAGTTCTGCAGGTAAACGGACTTGCATTTGAAGCTCCTGCAAACTTCACCATGGCTGGATTTCTCCCCCCTCCCCCAGCGTTCTTTCCCTCTCCTCCAGACACTTTACTCACAAGGGGAAGTGATACTTCTAGTGTCCATGAAGAATCCAGCCTTGGAACAGTTTTGCAGGTTAACGGACCGCTGCTCCGCCCACAGTCATGTGTTTTCAAGTGGCTGCTTGAAAATGCATGGCTAGGGCGGGGGAGAAGTCCTCCTTTAAACTGGGGCAGCGAGCATCGGGTGGGAGGGGCAAGCGAGTGAGCAGAAACTGGGCGACCGGGTTGAGGGCGTGGCCAGCTAGATGTTACCACCGGTTTGGCGACCCACTCCAAATTCTTGCTACCGGTTCACCCGAGTAGGTGCGAACCGGCTGAATATCACCTCTGAGTCCAAAACACAATTTAAGTGGTAGGGTAGCCGATATCAATCTGTTTGCTGAAAGTAGAGAAGAATTGGAAGAGCCCATTTTGAAGGCTACCAAATCAAGGCTGCAATATTTTAGAATTAATGTTGAATTTCTAGCAGAGCTTACCTGAAATTACCATTCCAGTATAAATTATACTGGAAATACGACTTCAGCAACAGAGGGGTCAATGTCTGGAATACTCTACCTGACTCTGTGGTTTCTTCCCCAAACCCCAAAAACTTTAAGCTTAGACTGTCTACTATTGACCTCACCCCTTTCCTAAGAGGTCTGTAGGGGGCGTGCATAAGCGCACCAACGTGCCTAGTGTCCCTGTCCTATTGTTTCTTTTTATTTTTTTATTTTTCTTATATGTATCCATGTATTCATAACTATGGTTTTTACTTATACCTATTATCTTGTAAGTGATTGACAAAAATAAATAAATAAATAAAATATTTGTATGAATTGCATTGAATATGGGCCTCCTCTATGGAGACAACATTTTGATTTTCATTTCTAATACAGTAACACTTATTAATCAATGTCTGTATAGTCACCTTATAATTTAAAAAAAAGCTTATTTGAATATATATAAGTCTCTTCCCCTAATTTCACTCCATTCTTCCAATATGCTGTCATATTTTAGAAGAAGGGCGAGAGAGAACGAGAGTACATGTATAACAGCAAGGATGGTTGTTATAGGCTAGATCAGGATAACTAGTCCACAGGTATATCTTTCTATCCCCTTCTAGACAAAACAATATAGCAAAAGGGAAAATTACTGTGTGCCATGCACTCCTGTTGATCCCAGCTTTCACTGAGAGCAATGCTAAAGAGTGACACAATATTGGAACAAGCCATTTGTGTCCTCATACTTCCAGAAAATAGACAATAGTGCCACTGTTCATAATAGCAGCCAACTTTTCATTAGCCACATCATGCACAAGTATGCAAAAATAAAACACAAAAGTTAAATGCTTTAGTTTTAACATGTTTTGACTGATTTAACATACCTGGCTCTTTATTCCATAAAAAATTGTATATCTTTTCCCTGAGTGAGTATGAATTCTCCTTCCCTTCATGGGGATGCCTTTAGACACAATCTGAAATTAAAAAAAAAAAATTAAAAAAAATTGAAATTGTTTTAATGCTGCATGCAATTTTTGAATATGCAAAAGGCTTTTTACATTTTTTGGGGGGGAGGGGGGGGAATATGACCAGACAAAGTAAGTTTAAATCAGCGGTCTCTGATTGTAACTGCGGTGGGTTGCTTTTTAGAATCTTGAAATGTTACGGCAGCCAGTAACATAAAAGAAAAGCAAACATTGCTCCTTATCAGAAGCTGCATCATACTCTCAAGCCCAAGTGTGCCCACTTGCCTAAGAAGCAGAGAAGATGGGGTCAGCCTATTCTCCAACGCATCTGAGGGCAGGGCAAGAAGTGATGAGTGAAAGGTCAGTAAAGAGAGATCCGGTCTAGAACTAAGGACAAATTTCCTGACAGTGAAAACAATTAATCAGTAGAATGACTTGCCTCCAGAAGTTGTGGATGTTCCATCGCTGGAGGTTTTCAAGAATAAACTGGATAGCCATTTGTACGGAATGTAATAGGATCTCCTGCTTGAGCTGAGAGTTGGACTTCCAAGGTCTCTTCCAACCCTATTATTTTATGTTCTATATATTCTAACCATGGTTACTTGCAACTTATCTTCCTATCCTACTTATTATTGATAATCCATCCAGAGTTGTTGGACACAAGATGGGCAGCAAATAAATTTCATAATTAATTAATAATCTATCTATCTAAAGATTAACAATTCAAGACTGATCATTGGCCATATTCTATCCCTGTTAATTCTCTGTTGCATATTGTATACATTTGCAGTTTTCTCTTGCCTGATAATTAAAACACCCAAAAGGGAGATAGAATTCCTCTTAAATTCATCTGTTCTCATATAGACAAAATTTAATACTTTCTCCCAGCATTTCAGTTCTTCCTTACATTTATTCCATATTTTTTTTTGGCAACTGCCACGGCTCATGGAGCATTGGGCTGTAAAGGATGCTGAGAATTCTCTACTTCCCTGGAGTGGATGTTGCCAAGCACCTTCCCTATCAACACAGGTGCCTCTTCAAGCAAGATACTACAGGAGCTTTCCACACAGGCCATGTCATCCTGGAACATCTCAGAAAGTTTCAAGTAACCCAAGACTGGAAGTCCCCAAGAAAAAATAGATGTATAATGATTTTGGGAGTTCACAAATATTTACCACCTATCCTGCCTTTTCACGCCTTGCTGCTCCCATCTCTGTAGAGTTGTAATTGCAGGAATATTCTTATCTTGGATGGCAAACCTCAGGTAAAGAATGTTTACAAAGCAAATACAACTCAGGCAAACAAAGTCACTAATGTAAAGGAGGATTAGAGAGAGGAAGTAAGCATATGTTGGACTTTGACTAGAGATAATTAATTGTGTTAGTTACTATGCTGAACAGTAACAAAAGTTAAGCAGAAACCAAAGTTAACCAATGTTGGAGGATTACTAAAAATGTGTATAAATGCCAGACTAGACTCCAATAAAGTTAATCATGATTCAGTTGATCATGATCAAGCAACTCGACTGCCTCGTCATTACAACACATCTCTGAACTACTCTAAGAGCCTTTCCTAGTGGTCCTGAAGTGCAGTGGAATTTCCATTGCCTAAAGGCAATGTTTGTATCAGTCCTCCTTCTATACCACCCTACCTCTGTGAAGCCCTTCATGGTTGAGGCCAATATCCCCAACGTGACCATTGTAGCAGTCTTCCTGAATCCCACAACACAAAACTACCAGCCTTGCCTATTACGTTCTATGGAAGTTCCCAAGCCAGTCCACACTTTGAGTGGGAGTCATAGTTCAGTCCTATTGGCTGAGCCATCTGACAGCGAACTATAAAAGGGAGCTGTCAGTTGGTATCAGCTGTTGCCCATCAACTGGCCGTTCAGCTACTTAGCAGCTGCCGCAGGTAACCTGTTCCTTGTTACATTAAACATTGTTGGTTGCAAATCTCTGCCTCAGCTCTTTCTTTAAAAGACTACAAAATTGCCCTATAGCTTTCATTCAAAGAAGCTGATCCTGGCTGAAGTTAACTATATCATCTGAGAGAAAGAATTGCTTGCTATCAAATATGCCTTCACTTTGTCCAGTCTGTCATCGGGCTACCAGTTTTCCTCTGTCATCAGGCTAACTATATCTTGTTCAAAACTATTGGCCTCTTTCAAACTATCAGTGTCCTTAGAACCCCGGAAGACCTCTTTCATAGACTTTATTACCAACTTCCCACATTCCCAAGGATTTGCCATCATACTGATGGTGATGGAGCATTTTTCTAAAACAGGGCACTTCATCCCTTTCAAGGATCCCAACTACAATCTGTTTCTCTATCATGTTTTCCAGATGTATAGCTTGCCTACTTGTATTGGCAAGGAATCACCTCACAAGAATTGGAAACAATATATTTGGAGAGCAACGGTCTCATCTTATCAAAAGAGCTTTAAATTAAAATTGAGGGGGACCTCAATTTTATCTTCATGACCTTCAGAACCTAATTCCAAGCAAAAAACACTAGATAACCAATCTCACAAGGAGGAAGAGAGTAAAGAGAAACAAGAAATAAAAAAAGAAAAACAAAATGAAGTAGAGAGTGATGGATAGGATGGAAATCCCAGTTACAAAGTAGGAGATATAAGAAACATACCCAAGACCCATAAAAGACAAACAGGGTGAACATGAAGTTTTAGTATATGAAGGCAGATATGATATAGTTGCCATTAATGAAACCTGGTGGGATGAAACTCAGGAGTAGAATGCACTGATGGAAGGATACAAACTATTCAAAAGAAACAAACGTAACAAAAGAGGAGGCGGAGTTGCATTATATATAAAAGATCACTACATCTCTACAGAAATACACAAAACCAAGGATGAAAACCTCCTAGAATTCATATACCTCCTAGAATTCATATACCTCCTAGAATTCCTCCTAGAATTCAATATAAAAAAAGAAAAAAATGACATTATTATAGGCATATATTACAGGCCAAGCAGAAGAAATAGATGAACTTTTTGCTAATAAATTAACAAATGTATGTAGGAAACATACCACAGTAGTAATGGGAGATTTTAACTACCCTGATATCAACTGGGAAACAAATTCTGCAGCAAATGGGAGATCGAACAGATTCCCATCTTCAGAAAAAAAAAGAGGGGGGAACAGACTCAGGAAACTACAGACCAATCAGCCTTATATCAATAATTAGGAAGATACTGAGGAAAAAAAGAACAGATTTGTGAACATCTAAAAACAAAATTATAATTAGTAGGTTTGTTAAAAACATATCATGCCAAACCAATCTTATTTCATTCTTTGACAAAGTGACTAAATTAGTAGACTAGCAAAATTCTGTGTACCTAGTATATTTAGACTTCATTTGACAAAGTAGACCTCAACCTACTTCTTGGTAAGCTAGAAAAAAGTGGGATAGATAGCACCACCACCAGATGGATTTGTAACTGGCTCACAAACTGTACTCAACTGTACTTAAGTAGTCCTTAATAGTACTACATCTACATGGAGGGAAGTAAGCAGTGGAGTACCACAAAGTCCCATCTTAGTCCCGGTACTTTTCAATATCTTCATAAATGACTTAAATGAGGGAATAGAAGGAGAACTCATAAAATTTGCAGATTACACTAAGATGGCAGGAATAGCCAACACCCCAGAAGACAAGCTCAGGATCCAAAAAGATCTTGGCAGACTTGAACCATGGGCTCTCTGCAACAAAATGAAACTTAGCGTGGGCAGCTAGGCAGGAAAAAACCAAAGGTACAAGAACAGATTAGGCAAAACCTGGCTCAAAAACAGTAACTGTAAGAAGGACCTTGGAGTCCTAGTGGACGATCACTTAAACATGAGTCAGCAATGTGTGGCACCAGCCAAAAAAGCTAATACAATCCTTGGTTGTATAAGACAGTCACCTGTCTGAAATGGTATAGGGTCCCCTGCTTGAGCAGGAGGCTGGACTAAAAGACCTTCAAGGTCCCTTCCAGCTCTATTCAGATTGAAATCTTGCATTATGTGGTCTATTTCACTGGAAAGTTCTGGAAGACTTTGTTTGGTCTCCTGATCATGGATCTTTACTGATTCATCACACATCATTATCTGAACATATCCATAACATATTCCACTAAGAATTACTGGCAGCCAAGGAGTAATGTAAACTCATAAAGGATTGTGGTCTTTCAGCAAGCAAGACCAACCCTGAAAAGTCAATGATTTATTGTTCTGTAGAGAGTAAGGAAGATGGCTTTGATGGAGATATGCAAGCTCTGTTGCCAAGGCAACAAGTGGTAAACTACCTTTTAAATCCAGAATGTCCTTATAACGTTTGGAAGTGTCTTAGACAAAAATTCCCCAATTTACTGAAATATTTACTTGCAAAATGTGACTTGCAAGATTCTATTATGATAGCCAATCTAAAAACTGTAAAAGTAGTTTTAGGCTACCTGTGTATGCTGCACCCACACTATCCCTATAGCTCTATACTCTACCTGGTGAGCATTGCAGCTTCTGGAAAATGACACCAACCTTCTTTTTTTCATCATGAGACACTGACAGCTAAAAAGATCAAAGGAGTATTTTTTTCTCTCTGAGATGCACCTAGACTCTAGCTAGAGGCTAGAGACTTATGATTTGAATGGGGGTTGGAGTCCTGACAGATACAGTGATAGGGCCATTACAATAAATGACTGGGCTTAATGTATGTATGTATGTATGTATGTATGTATGTATGTATGTATTGTTTGTAAATGTTTACGTTATAGTGGATAGAATTCTTAATATTCTGCCCTAGAAATGTTATTAATAAATAAACAAATAGTCCTCCTGTAATCCACCTGCCACAGAGAATGTTAACTCTTTCTCTTTAAGGTTACCTGATCTTCCATTCCAACTGCCTTGAGAGCTTCCCGCCCCCTGTGAGACAAGGCCAAATTAATGCTCCTGCCACGAGTTACACTCGAACTACGGATATCTGAAAAGATATGAAGACATTTATTGTGTGCCTTGAGATATTATATCTCATATAATGTTCAGAATTCCTTATTCCATATAATATTCATCATTCCTTATAGCTTACTTTCCAAATATTGACTTGTGCCAGGAGAGAACTATACATTTTTTCCCATTAAGGATTGCATAAGAGTATGAATGGCATGTTTGTTTAGAATTTATTTATTTCTAAAATTTCTTGGCTGTCCATTTTATCTCAGGGTAAGTCTCTGTTGTCCCTCATGAAGAGTATATTTGTGGGGGGGGGGGGGTTGTCACTCTTTATATAACTGAAAACATGTATAATGAAATCAACCTCACAGCAGTGCCAAAGATGCTTTTTCAGGAGAAACTGGAGTTTCTTGTTTTTTCTTTGAAGACATTTCACTTCTCATCCAAGAAGCTTCTTCAGCTCTTACAGGATAGTGGGGAATAGGAGGATTTATATTCCTTGCAGACAGCTTGTCATTTGCATCCTTTTTGAGGGTCATTGGTACACTTGGATGTTTTGGGATGAACACCCTTTGAATGATGTGGGAGTATGAACGGGTTTCCAGAAAAATTGCAGATTACAGGAACCAGGAGCACTATTAGGTGACACTGAGGACACAGATAAACCTCCAAGTGCTTCAACAACCCTAAAAAAGGATGCCTTCGCTGATGATCTGGTTATATTTTTACAGGCCTCAAAAGATGATATAGACTATTTGATGAGGAAACTGAATAAGTTTGGGGCTTTGGCAGTTTTCAAAATAAATAAACAGAAAACAACAATGCTGACTAAGAATATGCTTTCTCAGGATAGTCATATATTGAATAAAAAGTCTGGTTTTAGGGATGAGGAAAAGGTGAAATGTAGAGTTGTAATTGCAGGAATGTTCCAATCTCGGATGGCAAACCTCAGATAAAGAATGTTTCCAAGCAAATACAACTCAGGCAAACAAAGTCACTAAGTTAAAGGAGGATTAGAGAGAGGAAGTAAACATATGTTAGACTTTAACTAGAGATAATTAATTGTATGGATTACTGTGCTAAACAGTAACGAAAGTTAAGCAGTAACCAAAGTTAACCAATGATGGAGGATAACTAAAAATGTGTATAAATGCAAGACTAGACTCCAATAAAGATCATCATGATTCAGTTGTTCATGATCAAACAACTTGACTGCCTCGTCATTACAACAGTGAAATACTTTGGGGTTATGTTGACAAATACAAACATAAAACTGTTTCAAAATAATTATGTCCCTCTTTGGAGGGATATTAAACAGGACTTACAAAGATGGGATCAATTGCATTTATTACTATTGGATAGAATCTCTGTAATCAAGATGAATACCTTACCAAAGATGCTTTTTTTATTTCAGACATTACCAATAGTCACAATTGACAATCCATTTAAACAATGGCAGAAGGATATTTCTAGGTTCATATGGCAAGAGGAAAAAAACCAAGAATTAGATATAAAATATTGCAAGATGCCAAGGAAAGAGGGATGTAGCAGATATGAAGTTGTATTTTGATGCATGCTGTTTGACCTGGGCAAAAGAATGTGTGAGCCTCCAGAATAAGAGGTTACTCCAATTAGAGGGCCATGAATTAAGGTTTGGATGGCACAGCTATTTATGGTATAATAAAAGTAAAGTTAATGTTGATTTTTAAAACCATTTTGTTAACGTGCCATACTAAGAGTTTGGAATAAATATAAAACAAGGCTCTCTACGAAGCTGCCCCTTTGGGTGTTACCGCAGGATTTTTTTTAAAGAAAATAAATGATGGCAAAGACAGACTGGCTGATGTAAAGTTTTACCTCTCAACTCTGGTGACTCAATATTAAAGCTGAGGGAAGAACTTGAGTCAGATGGTTATGTTTGCCATATCATCATATACCATACTTATCATCAACTGAAAGAAACATTTAAACTGGATAAAAAAATGTTATGGATTTGACTTTGTTAAAAATGAATTGGAAATTTCATCATGTGGTAACAATGAACATATTATTGCTATGATCTATAAAATGTTATTGAAATTGAATTTGGAAAATGAACATGTAAAACACTGTATGATTCAGTGGGCAAGGAACTTTGGATATAATGTGATGCTTGAACAATGGGAAAATATGTGGATGAAGGTTTTAAAATTAACATTAAATCATAATCTAAAAGAAAATTTCTATAAGATGATATATCATTGGTATTTAACACCAGATTAGTTATCTAAGATGTATAAAGGTATGTCAGATGAATGTTGGAAGTGTAAAAATAAAGAAGGGACTTTTTATCATCTATGGTGGACATGTGATAAAGCAAAAAAAATAATTGGAGTATGATTCATATTTTAATACAGAAAATTTTAAAAATGGAGATAAAAATGAAACTAGAATTTTTCCTTTTGGCCTAATGTAAAAAGAATTGGAGAAAAAAATTGGAACTTTGTTACTATATATGTAACAGCAACAAAAATGCGCAAAAATGGAAGGACGCTTCGATTCCTACCATGGACGAATGGTTGCAGAAGTTGATGGAATTGGCGGAAATGGAAAATTGACTACTTTGATTTAAAAAAAGAACATAAGTACTTTTGTGTCCACATAGAGTCTGCTTCTGAACTTTGTGCTTGGTGTGGAAAAGAATGAAACTCTGGGTTTTACGGACTGATAGATCTTTATAGTGATGACTTGTTCATACTATTATGGAAAAGCAAAAAGTTGTGATTTGATGTTAATGCCTTATTTTACTGTAACACAGAGAGTCAGAAGTCAATGCTTCTTTTTCTTTCTTATCTTTCCTCACTTCTCTCCCCCTTGCTCCCCCCACTGCTTTCCTATTTACTTTTGTATTTTACAATACTTTATAACTCAACAAAAATGTTAAACTGAAAAAGGATGCAAATAATCAGCTGTCTGCAAGGAATATAAATCCTTCCATTCCCCACCATCCAGTCAGAGCTGAAGAAGCTTCTTGGATGAGAAGCTAAACGTCTTCAGAGAAAAAACAAGAAAATCCAATTGCCTCCTGAAAAAGCACTTTTGGGACAAACCATGACCTGGATGACTGAGAATCTATACAGACCTCAGAGCAATTTTCTGCCCCTGAGGGAATGGCTTTACACAATGGGGAGGTGAGGGGTTTCAGTCCAATGTTATTTACATCATTCTGACTCTCTTGCCCTCCCTTTTTGGGTGTTGATGGATAATGGATTGCTTTTCAAACAAGGAGATTCAATCTGCCCCTCCCCCGCAAACACACACACTTCGACATTATATTTGTCTGTGAAACATGGCTCAATGCATCTCTCCCCGACTCCATTACCACAGTAAGAGACTATCATGTTTACCGATCAGATCGTGAAAATCGTCGAGGAGGTGGTGTTGCTATCTTCTACTATTGATTCCATAGGATTTGCTGACCTCCTTCTTGTGCCTGACAAAGGAAAATATCTTCTCCATCCTGAATACTATATTCACAGGCAACATAACTGAACATACAGATTTTTCTTCTGTTTTTAAAATCACATGTGGGTGTAAAAGAAAGATTCTACAAATTTTCTACCAATTGTGCAATTTTGATCCATAAATTTTGGTATAAATTTACTGATGTGAAGCTTAGAAGCAGGTCCTATTCAGTGGTGGGATGCTGCCAATGTAAGAACTGGTTCGGTGATTGCATGCTTTGTGCGTCTTTCAGAAGAAAAAAAAAATCTTACCTGCTATGTTACTGCTGGGGAGTAACACAGCTGAGGAGTGGCAATCTGCTCTGCCACGTGAATCAACTGAGAGGATAGAGGTATGTACAGCGCAGGGCTGGGCGGGCTGACATGATCATCGCAGCGAACTGGTTCGCTGCCAGCTGATAATCAGAGCTAGGGGTTCACCAGAATAGGTCCAAAATGGTAAGAATCGCACCCCTGGTCCTATTGCTCCAATTTGCAAATATAAGGATAACAGAGACACTGTATTTGATCTAAAAATCTAAACTATTACTTGAAGTATTATTGTAAATAATCTTTAATTATCGAAGTTTCCTGGTGATTTAATACTATAAAATCTCCACTCCTGAAAGAATGAGAAATTTCAAAAACAGAATTCCAGCGAGACTTTCATGCATCTATACAAGCAGGATTATCATCTAAAATGTTCATATACTATCAAGTAACAGATCATACCTGATCTTGCTTCATACATTTCTACTTGGAATCCCCTTCTTGCAAAGAAAGAAGCATTTAGAGAACCCACCTGCAACAGAAGTATTGCAGTGTTTTTTGAGTCAAAAACAAAAATATGCAGAAAAGGATTTGGGAGAATGCTACATGATTTCAAAATGCATATTGTATCGGAAGCCTTTTTTGTAGGGGAGAATCAAGTCAACCAAATCCCCCCAAATGATAAGATGTTGACAAAATGTAAATGTTGAAGGAGTTTCCTCTGCTAGAAATGTGAGGATTTTGAACATACCACTTGTTTCTAACCACATAAAGAAGTTCCTTTTATAAAAAGAAATGCAGATAATAAGGAAATTATTGCTTCTTATAACAGTCAAAAGCAAGTTGGAAAATATGTTTTTGCCCTGTTATAATATTTTCATTTTTATATCATGTTTTATTTTACGTTTATTTATTTAACACACAAGCACTCTCAATTCTGAATTTAAAGCATGTTTGTCTCTAGAATTCCTTTCTTTTTTTAATTTGTTCAAAACCACAAATTTTACCAAATTTTAACAGGTATTTTTTCATACACAGAAATTTCCCAATTAGGAGAAACTGGTTCTACTGAGTTGCTGCAATTCATATCACAGTATCATAGTTAGAAACTTTTAAGGAAAAGACAAGTGTCCTTGTTGTTTATGGACCATATTCTAATTTCCATATTACTTTATCCTGATTTCTTTAGACACAGGGGAGGCTTTATATCTTTTAATAACAAAACAGGCAACTGTTACTGTAGTCACTTGTCCTTAATAACAAATTTCTCAGAAAGTTTCAAGAAGCTAAATCCTACACAGAATCAAATTAAATTTCTTCACAATTCATTTTTTATAAAAAATAAGTGGCATTAGTGGGGGGGGGGGGCTCTCTCCCACACACATACATTCTCTCTCTCTCTCCCTCTCCCTCTCTCTCTCTCTCTCTCACACACACACACAAATTCACACTATCCCATACTCAGCAGACATAGACTGGTGCTAATTAAAAATTAAAACGGTGCTCCAAAATACCAACATAAGTTCAGTAGCTACAATTTACTGGGGAGAACTGCTGAAAACAAACAGCACCATTCCTACCAATGCATTTAAAAAGCTATTGAGAAACCCATATGATAAAGGGAAAACAAATTATGGCATACTTGTGGGTATACATAGGTAAGAAGATATGAAAGCAATCCTTTCTCATCACAGAATGTGCAACTGTTTTCCGCTTAAACAGATTTTTATATTTCACACTAAAGCTCAAAGGTTGAAACATTTTCTGTCAAATAGACAAACCTTGTTAGGGTTCCTATTCATTCAAATTAACAAAATAGCCACTATTCAATACCTAGCGATGATTAAAATGTGGTTTGGAATTCTGTGATCATATTTTTTTAGATTTTTATAATATTTTAAAAGATCTTACCAATCCTCCCCCAATTATAGCTACTTTTCTTCTCTGCGTTTTAGAAGAATCCATGGTTTGAAAATCTCTCCTTTGACTAATCAGACTAACCGTCTTCTCGCATTCAGCAAAAAATGCTTGCATGGGAGGAGAAAGAGGAGGTTCCATTCAGTTCTATGACCAACCAGAGTTTGAAGAAGCAGATGACATTTTGACATCAGGTTTTCTTAGGTTGTTCATTCTCTAATATAACTTTCAGCAGTAGAATAATAAGATTAAAGATCACCCCTTCCTCACTGCCTCCAAGACAAAATATTTGAATCTGAACTTTGGTATCTGTTACCTGTACAGGTAATCCTCAACTTACAACCACAACTGAACTCAAAATTTCTGTTGCTAAGCAAGGCAGTTAAGTGACTTTTGCCCCATTCTACGACCTTCCTTGCCACAGTTGTTACGTGAATCACTGCAATTGTTAAGTTAGTAGCACAGTTATTAAGTGGCTTTCCCCATTGATTCTGCTTGTCAGAAGATCACAAGAGTCGATCACATGACCCTGAGACATGCAACCGTCATAAATACATGCCAGCTGCCAAGCATCCAAATTTAAATCATGTAACCATGGGAAGACTGCAATGGTAGTGTGAAAATGGTCATAAGTCACTTTTTTCATTGCCGTTGTAACTTCGTATAGTCTCTAAACAAATGGTTTTAAGTTGAGGACTACCAGTAGAAAGAAAGGATGAGGAAAATCCTAGGTATGCTTCTCACTCAGCTCCTGTTGTGAATCCATTTTTTTTAATTATCAGAGCAGGCTGGAGTGTTTTCTTCTTCTTTCCAGTGTAGGTACTCTTAATCTGAATCTTTTGGGGGAAAAAAGTTCAAAAACGTCTTAGTAGTCAGCCAGACCATGGGACTACCTCATAAATTGTAGTATGCTATAATCTGGGTCAGTTTGTTTAACATGTGGTACAAAGCACAGTAAAAGCAATCTGTCAATTTTAATTTGGAAACCAATTGCACAATTGAGTACAATAGCTGACTCTGCAGCTTCATGTGTTTTAATGTCCAGCTCCTGAAAGTGATGTGTGCAGCAAGCCAAAATTACAAAATGTGTCCTGTCATTGTAATACAAGATCTCCCCCAACCCTTATCTACTTCCCTGAATCTCACAATGCCAGCACAATGGGGGAGGAGAGTTGTGTCAGGCGCATTCTTGATCTTTTAATCCCCCTCCCAAAATGGCCACACACTCAATGTTGAAAAGCTTAAGCAACAATGAGTCAAACACTTTGTTCTGCTTGTTCCTTTTGGGCTATGCATGTAAAATAGGGCAGTAATAGAAAAGAAATACTAAACTTCAAGTGTTTTTTTATCGGGAGTATGTTTTATTTATTTATATATTTTATACTTCTGAGTACACAGTATTTTAATCTTACATGAGAACAATAAAATAATTTATTGTATAAACTGGTGAAACAAGCACAGGAAAATGCATTTGTAGATACTTTTGAATGATTTGCTCTTTCCAATTACCCCATTAATTTAATGGTTGGAACTCCAATCCCAGGAAAAAACAAAATGTATCAGACTGAACAGATGCAAATAAAATAAAACATCAATGTACAATGCAATTCTGTAATTAAGTTTTTCTGTTTGAGATGTAATAATGGTAGAAAATTAGGTACTAGAATTTATTTGCTCAACTACAAATTCTTGCTGTTTCTACTCTACCCTTGTGCAAGGGTAAAAATTAGTATTATAAAAATCCACAGTGCTACCACATCTTCTAAGCACCTTCCCACAAGCCCAATACCCAATCTTCTCGGTCTCTTTCCACTACTGTTTTTTTAATCTATTTATATCTTGCCTTTATTATTTTTACAAATACCTCAAAGTGGTGAACATATCTAACACACCTTCCTCCTCCTATTTTCTCCATAACAGCAACCTTATGAGGCGAGCTGGGCTGCCTTTCACGGATAAGAAAAGGGCTGAACTCATGGTCTGCTGCTTCTTACTACACCAAACTTTTGCCAATCTTCTAGGTGGTCCATAACCCCAGCTCCTTAGCTTTCCAGAGTCTTTAATTTCGAGATTTATAATAACTGTAAATATTGTGTATTTCGTTGAATTTTGCATAGAATGTCAGTGTAGGAAAAAAAATGGTACCTGTAAATTACACTGCATTTATACTCTCAGTCTCACCCTGTACACACCACTGCAGATAATTAAGGAGACTATATCAAATAATAAGGCACACAGCTGGGTATTAGATATCTCAATTCCCATTTCACATACACTTACAATACAAAATGGGGAATAGAAACAAAATAAAACAAAAAAATCAAGGTAAACCACACCAAACTTGATTGCAGGAAACACGACTTCAGCAACAGAGTGGTCAATGTCTGGAATACTCTACCTGATTCTGTGGTTTCTTCCCCAAACCCCAAAAACTTTAACCTTAGACTGCCTACTATTGACCTCACCCCTTTCCTAAGAGGTCTGTAGGGGGTGTGCATAAGCGCACCAACGTGCCTACCATCCCTGTCCTATTGTTTCTTTTTAATTTTTTTTATATGTATCCATTTCATGTATTCATAACTATGTTTATACTTATACCTATTATTTGCAAGCAATTGACAAATCACATAAATAAATAAATGAAACAAAAAGATTAACAGATCTGTCCTGTAAACATCCAGCCACAAATTCAGACTTGGACTTTCATGCAGGACTCTGCTGCCACCTAGTAGCCATATAAGATTTTGCAGTCACAATCTGAGAGTCCTAAAGGAAAGACATTTGGCCTGAGAGTATTGACTTTTCATTCAAGAACTTGACCTATCACTAACATGTGATCTTCTAAAACTTTAACATGGATTCTGTCAAATCACTCAAGAGACAATTATTGAAGAACTGCAAGCCTCACATACACAGTTGGGGATGCTCAGACATAGACATTACTCAGGAGCAAATTCATGCTCCAAAGCAGAACTCATAAGTGGAAACTTGAGAGCCATTCATGTAATCCTTGATTTACCACCATTCATTTAGTGACCATTCAAAGTTACAGAGGCACTGAAAAAAGTGACTTATGACCATTGTAACATTCCCATGGTCATGTGATCAAAATTTGGGTGCTTACTACCTGGCACGTATTTATGACAGTTGCATTGTTCTGGGATCATGTGATCACCACTTATAATCTTCCCAGCTGGCTTTCAACAAGCAGAATCAATGGGGGAAGCCAGATTCACTTAATGACCATGATTCACTTAAAAACTGCAATAATTTGTTTAACAACTGTGGCAAAATGATAATAAAATGGAGCAAATCTCACGTTAACAACTTCCTGGTTTGTTGCTGTTTTTGGTGGCACAGTTTCATAAACAAAAAACACAAGTTCATTCCATTTGGAGGGAAAAGAAAGATTCAGAAAGGATTGTTGATGTTTGAAGTTTAAACATTAAGAAACCCCGAGCTTCCCAAAGCCTGGACATGCCATCCTCATTTGTTTCCATGACACCCATGGTAACTCCTAGCTCAGGACTAGAGGATTGCCTGATGCTTATATCATTGTTGTAACTCTTCTCTATATACCCATTCTCTTGCTATATTTGATAACAAGTGGTCTGAATCATCAGAGAAACTTCTCCAATGTTGCATGCATAATAATACTGAAATGTAGATCTCTATAGAGGCAGAATAGCTTTGAGACTGATTGGAAGGACCTCTGTTCTGAAAATTGCTTCTATGCCAGAATATCGTAAGAAATAAAAATCTTATTCAGGGATTTGCATATGGAGAAAATTCAGTTAGAGGAGGATGGGTAACATTCAACCCTGCCCCAATTTGTCATGCTTCAGGTGATAGGATAGGACTGAAAGAGAGTTCTAATGTTTACTTAAAGGTGTCATACAGCTGACATACAGCTATCAGTACAATCTGGACTCCCCTTTATTTAGATCAAGGGTCTTCAAACTTGGCAAGTTTAACTCTTGTGGACTTCAACTCCCAGAATTCCTGAGCTAACATGACTGGGGGAGGAATTCTGGGAGTTGAAGTCCACAAGTCTTAAAGCTGTCAAGTTTGAAGACCCCCTGATTTAGGTCCTGGATCATGCACAGAGCTGTAATTGCATTCAAGGAAGGATAGGTTCAGTTCCCTTTCAGATCTCTTGATTAACATGAGGAGGTTGGAGAGCTCTCCGCTGACACAGGAAAAGGGATTTTGCTGAATGTAAAATCTAGAATTGTCATTACTAAGAAAAGGACGAGGATTTTTTCAGTCTCTGAAAGAACTGGATCTGCTGCTGAAGTAAATTCATTGGCTGACAGCATTAACTTTTCCCCAGAATTCCAGGGTTTAAGACAGTTCATTTAGTGACTGGATGGCTTCAGGATGGTTAGACTCTACATAGAGCAGGGCTGTAAAACTCCTGGCCTGTGGGCCGGATGCATCACACACTGACCACGCCCAAGCCCCGCTTAATGAAGGGGAAAAAAGTCCCGATACATCATGTGATGCACAGGTGGTATTCAGCAGATTCTGACCAGTTCTGGAGAACCAGTAGCGGAAATTTTGAGTAGTTCAGAGAACTGGCAAATACCACCTCTGACTGGCCCCACCCCCATCTATTCTCTGCCTCCCGAGTCCCAGTTGATCGGCTGGGTCTTCTTTGGTTGCCCTGCACAGGAGAACAGAGCTGGAAAGCAGGTTAGTGGGATGGGGAGGGAATGGGGATTTTGCAGTATCCTTCCCCTGCCACGCCCACCAAGCCACGCCCACAGAACCAGTAGTAACATTTTTTTAATCCCACCACTGGTGTGACGCCACCGTGACAACATGTATTTGATACCCCTGTTCTAGAATCTCTATCTCTGTATCTATTTAGCAAGACTTTTTTTATTACATGTAAGCAAATAAAGAATTAGAATCAATTGGATTCCATTCTATTTTCTTTGGGCTTGGGCCTGACACTAAACAACAACATTGTTTTCAGATAGCAAAGGAGATTCCAAGCCACTCCTGGTGAGAAGCCCTAGAAGTTTTAAACTTTGAACATTCTGCACATATAACCCAGAATTATTTAACATGCACAAAAGAAAAGGTTCTCTATTATTTTGCAATAGAATAAGTATTTTATGAACAGCCCGCACAATAGTTTTGATTTCTGGGACACCCCTTTCTTTCTCTCTCTCTCTCTCTTTTTTGCATATGATGACACTCGTGCTAGCTAAACCACAACTATTTTCTTCCTATTCTATCTCATAGAGTTTGTTTTGCTGCTCATGATTCCAAGCCTTATGCCCTAGTCAATGCACTGTTGCAACAGTGATCAAACACTATTTCCATTCTTACAGAAGATTTGTGCCACTGTGCTCCATGCTATCCCTTGTTTTCCTTTTTGTTGGATAATTAGAGCAGTGATTTTCCATCAACTCCTAGTTGAAGCACTCCTGTAGACAGCCTTGCAGTGAAAGGTTCTTGGGTGACATCCTATTTTAAATGTTGTTAGGTTGATTGAACAATGCACAAAGAAGGTGTCTCCATCACTTCCTAATTATTATCATAAGACTGCTGCTATGTAACTCATAACTAGCATGAGCTTCCAGTATGGCCATGGATGCTGGCACTTTTCCTTATTTTCCCATGGCATTCTTCCTCCTCTTTCATGTCTGGTGACAGGAATGAACAGGATACAGTTCACATTATTTATCACGTAGCATAGCTAAAATAGAATTGATGCATAAGACTGTCGTATCAGGTGGAAATTTTATCCTTACTGCAAACCCTATGTTCTCAGCAAATGTGCATAATTTCTGTCTGTCTGCAGCGAAGTAAAGTGTCAGATGAAAGAGCTCCAGTGCTTTTAATTAAGTACTCATTGCCCCTTTGCAAGCCACCTGTAAGAGAAATCAGTTAGTATGTATACAATATTTAAGCAAGGTAATAGTGTACTTCTACAGTGATGGAGAGATACAAAAAAAAAAAAAAGAAACTAAAAAACTAATTTGAAAAGAGAGTTTATATATACTACCAAACAACGCTCTCTTTCCTTCTCTCTAGCTTCAAAATCTTGCGTCTCAGATGTTCCATGGATAAAATCTTTATAGTGTCAAGAAGTTAATTAATAATTGAAATCAATTGCATAATGTGTCTTTCCATTATGTTTTGCTATTTACTATGTCTGCATCATAGGCTTTCTATAAACCACATTTTTCTATTACTGTATAAAAATATAAAATAAATAATTATATAAAGGCAGACTACTGATCTAATTTTAAAGTTAAAAATCATAGGAATAGCCAGATGTAGAATGATAAACTGATAAGCTATTCATCATCATCCTAATTCTGGCAGAAAATAAAATATATATCCAGAATTTTTTAAAAAATATAATTTTAGGTACTGACAGGGCCATTCCAGATAAAATAAATTTTTCTCAGATTCTTTTGGAGCCAATATTTTATCTGAAATCATTCAGAAAACACATAATAGACCCTCCAATCCATTTGCTACATGCTATTTTCATTCACATTCTGAACTCAGCAAATATTGCTATGCAGCCATGGTACCTAACACTCAAATGGGCTCTAGCATAAATTCCGTAGTAGAATATGTGGGAACTTACAGCTTTGCCTTTATAAGCTTCCATTATCTAATATGCTGATTAACTCTCTCTAACAGGAGTTCTCTATACCAGCCGCTCCAGGAGAATCTTACTACAAAATGATCACCTGAACAAATAGAAGTTTCATGCAAGAAGATGTAACCAGAACTCCCATGGTATACAGTAATTAGAAAAAGATGCTTGTTTACTTTCCTCCTCAATAGGTAATACAGATTTGAAAATGTCCAAATTCAACCTTCCAGGGGTGTTGGGCTATAATTCCCACCAAGTCTAGTCAACGTGTTTCTACTCCTATAAATCTAGAGGGGACTTTCCAAGATCCAGGATTGTTCATCTTTATCCTGCCCTCACTTTATGAAAGCAGAAAAGCTCAACAAGGTTATGAGAGAAGCCTGATAGGGCAAGCTGAGTAACATCACTGTTATGTGGCAATTTACTGTGAGTTGTGCCTAGTGGGACAATTTAAAAAATCTCAAATCTATTGAGTTAGCAGGCAGAAAAGGCCTAATCTGGCATGCTGACGTAGCCCTGATATAAATAAAGGAAGTCTACACTCAAATTACCTTTTCTAGATTGTTGCTATGGAATCTACAAACCCAAAGGTAATCCAAGGAGTCTGTGAGGTGGCACACTTTGGGAAGAAAAATGTGTAATTAGAAATATATATTTACACAATGATCTAACTTTATGTGATTATTTTCCTTTTTAGGGCACCTTTGAGCATTTGAAAGTAATCTATATATGACTTGCTAGGGTAACTTTTCGAAGGCTACAAAGGCCTAACATCTGCTTAGAAAACTGAAATGAGATTGATACAATGGAATATAACAAAACTTGCTATTCCTAAAAAGATTACTTTTGATATTTCACAACAACTTATTGTTGTTTCTCTGATATTCTTTATGGCTAATACATAAAGAAATATACCTGAACTGGAATACTGTAAAAAGGAAACAAACAGAACAAATGTCTTAGAAAACTTTGAAACCAGTTTTCCTATTGTAGCAAACTCTTGACTTACGTGTGTGATGCATTAACTGGAATGGGCAGATTATGAACTTCAGATGGGAAACCTTCCAGTTGTGGGCTTGGGCCAGGTTGCAGAACTAATGGCCACATGGGGAAGCCACTTTGAGAAGGAATAACTGGTGCTCCTAAAGATGTATAGTGATGATGATGCACAGCTGATGGTCGTGATTTCTCCACTCTTACTGGAATAGGACCTGTAAGCTGCAGATATTTTTTTAAAAATCAGGATAATATATTAAATACATCAAGTCAAATGATGCCACGATTTCAATACTGATTTGAAGCTTATGGTTTAAAATTCATTTTTTCTCCTTTGTTTCAGGCTCACAAAATACATTAATAAATCAGTGACAAACTCACTTCCCACCATTACAAACTCCACTGAGGGAGGACCAACCTTTCATGTTGCAAGACGCACAAAACATTTCATTCTATAAGGCTTTCCCTTGTTTTGATTGGAAATGCTAACATACTTTTGAAGTTTGCCAAAACTATACTCTTGCATGCAGTTCAAAGAAGTAATTTCAGTACTGAAATCTTTAAATATTGTAAAGCTTAGGTTTCAAATGGGAAAAGAATAGGTGAAAAAAGGGGATTGCCTATAGAAGTCCCCTCCCCACAGCAGAGGGAATGGAGTGTGGAAGGGATTATAAGAAGTAAGCAAGCACACAATGGGGAATACAGCAGGCTGTTTTATGTTGTACCCTTGTGATCCCTGGTGCCAGTGCATTCCTTTTGATGTATATTTCCCATAACGGTTCTTCTTACTTACTCACATGTCATCCTTTCCTCTCCAATGATTGTAACTAGAAACATTCCCTTTTTGCTAATTATCCCAGTGTCAGGCTGAGCATTGCAGAGTTGGGGGAGTGGGGAAAAGGAAAGGGCAGTCCCGTTTGTGTGATTTGCTAGTTAGCCACTCTGCTTAATGACAGAGTTGCCAGGCCTAATTGTAGTCCCTAAATAAGAACTATCTGTACACTATAATCCAGCCTTTTAAGAATCTCAATTTGAATGACACTAACCATTCAAATGATTAGCATGCATAAATGTACAGATATGACTCAGACTAAGTAGTTATTACTGGAAGCCCTTTAAAAATATAGCTACCTGTTGTCCATGTTGCACCATAGGGACTCCGTACCCACCAGCTGGCGAATATGTTGGTGGTAAAGATTTCAGCATCATGTTCTGCATAATGATTTGGTGCATCTGTGCATTTTGCATAAGCATCATTTCTACCATATCTATAAAGACAATTTAAGACCACCCTATGATTATAACGGAGAACATAATGTATCAGTAATCCAAAGGGTGAAATTCAGCCATTCGAACAACATAATCTCTCAGATCAATGTCTTTTTTTTAAAAAAAATAAGCAGCCTAGTATTAGCTGAGCTGCAAAATTTATATTTTAAAAGTATGAATAATCATAAATGTTAAGAATTTGAATATGTTACACAGTGGACATACTACAGATGTACATAGAGTTCTTCAACAAAGAAGGAAATAATTAGTTTAACAATTCCTTTATTTTCAAAGTCTGCTCAGACAGAATCTAAGTCTAGGAATTTTTAAACAGATATAAAAATGATTCAAAGACTCTGAAGTTTGCTAAGGAAAAGACATTACAATCTTTCAATTGAATGGGGAAAAAAACAAAGCAGGTTCTTAGCTACTTGCCTACATTATAGCAGAGTAATATATGTTGAAGTTAGTTCTACTATATTAAATGAGAGTTAGTCCTACATAGTGTACACATTGTTATAGTTTTTGAACACAAATACCTTCTTTAATGCTCCCAGATCTGGGTACTGAAAAGGACTGTGGAGATGGAATCTGTGTAATGAATGGTGGCTGATATGAAGGTATTTGTTGAATTATAGTTGCTGGTTGCTGTGGTAACTTGCAAAAGGTAAAAAAAAGAATAGTTAAAGAGTAAACTGTTGCTCCATTCTTATACATGTAGTTGAGTGAAGTTAATGGACAACATATTAAATAATTAAAATGTTATACTTACATAGAATTCACTGAGCAAACAAACAGTGAAAGCTAGGAAGAGCTTAATGGAGAGAAGAGAGGCTAGCAAAGTTGTATGTTCTGAAGAATTGCATGCTGATTCACAAAGATTGAAAAGATCATCATAGATCATCATTGCAAAGAAGTGGGGAATGACCAGGACAAAAAATAAAATTACTGTAGATTTAATTTAACAATAGAGGAAGAAATACAACACAAGCATTTTAAATATAATATTTATGTTTTATTTCTTTCTCTATTCTTTTAATATGTTAATAGCTGCCCAGAATTGCATTTGTAGCAGCCGTATAAATTGATTTGATTATATGTAACATGACATGACATGACATGACATGACATATCATAGCATAGCGTAACGTAATGCAACGTAACGTAACATAACTATATAAATGCTTATGAGTACTACTTTCCATGTGTTTAATAATTCTTCTATTAGAAATTACAGTTGGTCATGACTGGTACAATTCTAAGAGTTGTATCTAGGGTTTTGGGATCTCAGATTATGGTACTCAAATTGAACGTAAAGTTTATTTAAATCTTCAATATTAAATTTATCATATCAGTGCTAAAGTGCTTTAATGTACACACTGTTGGACCATTCACCAATTAATATGTGGTGTCATCTTCAGGGTAATTTGTTAAGGAATTGAAATTAGACTGCCTGCCACCAAATTTTGTTCATCAAGAATTGCCATCTGACCAGGGCACAACAAAGTAACTCGGCCTGCTTGATATGCAGAAACCTGCATAGCCTAATAAGCAGAAATTAGATAGTGAATATAATACAGTTCTCATTAATATCTGCAATCAAGTTGCTAGTTATAAAATGTGGAACAAATTCAATAATGCCCCAAAAGATCTTATGAAATCATGATGTACTGATGAAATGATGTTCCAGACTTGCCATATAATGAATTTATGCTGCCCACAGTTGGTTTTGTTTGTATTAGTTTGATGGGTTTTTTTTGTTCCTCCTTGAAATAAAGCAGGAAACACTTACTGTTTGTTGGATAATTCTTGGTTGTTGAGGTAGAGGGGGAGGGGGAGGAGGAGGAAGAGGAAGAGGAAGAGGAGGAGGAGAAGGAGAAGGAGGAGGAGGAATTTGGTAGATATGATGTGGCTTCAAGGGCTTTTTATGAATTCTTGGTAAACTTGGTGGTACTGAAAGCTCTTCCAAAAGATTTTGTTCCTATAATACAAAGTATAGTTTTTCTAAACTCATACATTTGCTTAAATAAAACCAACCTGTAGCAAGGCAGAAACTGAAGACATTTCTAGTATATAGTCTTTTCTTGCTAAAGACATTAGCAAAAAAAAATAGAACATTAAACTTTTCATTAATTGTATTCAACATATTGGAGGGAAATATATATTATACTGCATAACTCCACCTTCCAATGTTATTAAACTTTAATATTTAATAAGAGATTTTACTTTTCAAAAAGAAAAAGAATCATGATGCAACAATAGGTTTCCTTGCCTCTCCTCCCAAATTTACCTACTCAAAATTACTTTGCTTTTCCCTAGAATTTTTACTTTTCTTAAATTCCCACTACATCTTATCTAAACTGATAATATTATCCAGCAAAGAATTAAAATATATTAACATAGTAAGAAGTGAGCAGAAGAAAGTATACTTTATTCCATTTTTAAAGAAAATGACAAAAATTAGGGATATCATACTCTGAGCTGCTGTAAAAGATCTTTCTTTCTTCTCAGTGCACTTTGTAAGGCATAGCCATAATTGTCATAATTCCCTGCAAAAAATATGGGTGACATTAATATGTCATTTAAAAAGATCCCAGATCTGATGGAGTCTAAGCAGCTAATAATAAATTATAAACACATTAAACAGATAATGAAAAGTAATAAAAACAATATACAGTATATCAACATACTTAGAAAGAGATAAGTTGTGCCATATGGAGATTTCAGTTTAATGGCACAGGACAGCTCTGCAAGTACATATACATAGACCTGCAATCCTACATTAATGCTTTTGTTAACACTGATAATTTTAACTTTCTTCCTCCATATGTGTAGCAATTAATTAAGTAACCTGATCAATAAAACTTTGTGATAAAATATTTTTAGGCAGATATTAAATCCAGATGGGATTAATTCTGCACAGTTCTTTATTGTAATCCATGACTTGACAGCATACATAATTCCAGTACAAATATGGTTTATTGCTTACTTGTAGAGAAGGGTGATTCAGAGTCATCCAAGTTTTCACGTTCATTTTCTAATTTCTGCAGAACAATATACACATACACAGAATTACAGAGTTGGAAGGAACCTAATAGAAGGATTCTTTTTTACAAAAAAAAACAAAACCCTGTAACTTCCCACATTAATTTTAAGACATTAAGTTTTTATAATAAAAAACGTTGATTCTTAAGAAAAGGAATCTGTGGGGAACAATCAAACTTTAGACAAATCTTGAATTATGTAAAACTCGATTTGTTATTGTTCAGTATTAGAACAAACATCCCTCTTGGACTTGATAGCACCAATGTCCTCTGATATCCATTTTGTTTCTTGCTTTATATCTTAACCCTAGCCAGCAATCAGTGTAAATTGTCCTTAGCTACACCAGTGTAAAAGCAGGGTTTCCTCCACTATTCTAACACATTTCTTGGGCAACTTTCAAATATCTGTGTACTTTTGTCAGTTGGTGCCTCCAAAGCAGTTTATGGAACTCAGGCAACACAAGTAGGATATGACTTGGCAATAGGACAGTAAAGTTTATGACAGGAAGACTTTCTGATAGGCAGATAGGACTTCAAGACAAATTGGGGAAAGGCCCAAATTATCAGGAATACTTGACTAAAGCTACATCTGTATGCATACATAGCATTCTTGACACGTTCAGTATGACACAACTAACAGTAATGCAAAAATCTCAATTTTAATTGATAGATTTTTCCCCCCCTGTCCTATTACTGGGTAGTTAATGCTTGGATATCTTTGTAGACAAATCAGCTTACCTTTTCAAGGAGTTTGAGCTTCAGGTGGGCCATATGATCAGCCACATTAGATTCCATCACTGGGGAAAAATTCCAAGGTAAGATGTGGCTGGTAAGCTACATTATTTTGAACATGGGTTAACTTTCTCTCTCTCCAGCTTCGTTATGAGTTTCCATGTATTTTTTTTCTCAGTAAGAGCTGCAGGCTGTGGTCACAAGGAAAACAGAAACTTCTTAAACTGCTTCATGTCTTTTGAAATGTACACTCAACATGGTTGCTAAGATATTGTTTCACCAGAACAATAACAATATTTTCTTTAGGGCTGCTGATTCTTCCAGTGCAAGTTCAATGTGCCCAACCCTGTGTGTTGCTAACACCCTCTTCTGAATAACTCTGTTAAGCCTACAGAACGAGTTAGCGTCGCATCTGTTGGTCATAATTTAAACAATATGTATTTCCAGGGATTAGTACTCACCTAGCTCATACAATATTTGGTCATCAGAGAAAGACAGAAACAAAATGGGTGAGGCTATCCATTGTGATTCTATAAATTGAAGTTTCAACCAGGAGTTTCCCAAACTAGAGTTAAAAATAATTCCTGAAATTTCATACTACGACCAATATTTGACAATATAAAGCACCAATTTATGTTCATTAAAATCATGGTTTCAGAAATCAAAGAAAAATAGAATGAAGATTGCATAGTTATGTTGAAGATTAATCTTAAGTAGATTTGATCAATAACAAGCAATAATATATAGCTGTATATCAAGACCACTGACTTAGGTCTCCTAATTTGTTTCAGTGTCTGGCCAATCACAGATAAAATATAAAGAAATCCCAAGCAACAAAATGTACCAATTAATAATTAAAAGATTGCTGCTTCAAAAAATACTATCTCATATGGCCTAAAGTAATTGTTTTAAGCCCAGGACAGCTAATTATAAATTATTGCAAAGATAGTCAGCACAGAATATGTGAAAAATACTTTCCTACATTATTAATTAGAAGTATAGTCAGTGTATTCACATTTGAGATTGTATGTATCCGCTACATTTGTGTGTGTGTGTGTGTGTGTGTGTGTGTGTGTGTCTATGTGTGTGTGTGTGTGTAGAGTTTAGAATCAGCGTTGACTGTTAGTGACTGCTTTGGACAACCACTGCAGTTTTCTTACTAAGCTGTTTTCAGATGTGATTTGCCATTGTTTTCTTCCTAAGGCTATGAGGGAATGACTAGCCCAAGGTCACTCAGCTGGCTTTGTGCCTAGGGTGGTATGAAAGCTAACAGTCTACCAGTTTCTAGCTTAATTCCTTGGACAGGCAGGAATAAAAAACGACTTGAAAGATCTACACTACTATGTTCGCAATATTTCACCAGCAACATTTAAAAATGTATCTGGACTGAGTTCACAAATATTTAATAACACTTCTCAGTCAGAAATGATGCTATTCCATTTTTTTCACATTTGTACACTTTTCTTAGGTAATGGATCTTTGTATACAAGTTATAATATAGTTTTTCAGATAGTGGAGTTTCAGCAACAGGACTTGAATTTCATTCAATGACCCTGGAAAATTTGTGGGATTAGTTATTAGGTTAGTTATCTTAGTCCTCAGGCTTCAAAGGTGTCTTTTTCAAACGCCTTTTTCTAAAGGAGATGTGTTACGTCCTGAAGTTAGTTGATTAACCCTTCCTGTTAAATATGTGAAGATATAAAATTATGAGAAGATATATGGGTGAACTGAAAGTTAGTTTATTTCATTTATTTGTCAAAAGCTTATAACAGAAACAAGAATAAACATAAGTTTAAATACAAAAAATAGGAAATAATAATTGGGGACAATAGGACAGGGACGGTAGGCACGATTGTTCATCAATATAGGTAGTCCTCGATTTATAATAGTTCATTTAGTGACCATTCAAAGTTACAACAGCGCTGAAAAAGTGACTCACATGTATGATGGTTGCAGTGTCCTGGAGTCATGTGATCCGGTTTTGCAACCTTCTGACAAGCAAAGTCAATGGGGAAGTCAGATTCACTTAACAACCAAGTTACTAATTTAAGAACTGCAGTGATTCACTTAACAAATGTGACAAGAAAAGTTGTAAAATGGAGCAAACTCACTTAACAAATTTCTCACTTAACAACATAAATTTTGGGCTCAATTGTGGACGTAACTTGAGGACTACCTGTACAATGAAACAGTCTTTAAAACATATTGGTGGACTGATTTGTAGAAATCATGGTTGCCAGTGAAACATTCTGAATTCTAGTCTTGCTCTAGGCACAAAACTCAGCCCAGGAAGGAGGAAACAGCAAACCAGTTCTGCAGATCTTGCCAAGAAAACCACAAGGACTTGTCCAAAGGGTGGGCAGGAGGAATACAAATAGTACAAACTATTTCAAGTGGTACAGAAGCAGAATGCAGCTTCAGTGCTGTAAACAAAGAAGCTCACTCTTGACATGTAGTATATCCAATCTCACATTTGTAGGAAAAATCTATCAAACACTTCAACACCAAAATAGTAAATGTGCAATTAATACAGTCGGTTCCAGGTCTTTTCAGGGAAGAAATATACAAGCCATCAAGGAAACCGCAACTACCTTTGAAGCTATTCCACTCTATATTTCTTATCATTTTTTGCTGATTAGTGCTTGAGAAATGTCTGCTTTTAAGATGAATTTTCTTAATTTAATATAGGAGGAAAAGAGCTTGATTGGTAAACATCAAAGAGTTAAAATCTACATCGCTGCCTTTTCCTCTTCCTATTGCCGGCGGCTCTTGAATATGGAGGAAATCCATGCTTTTGCTTTGCTGTACTGTGTTAATGGAGCTTTGAGAACGAAGGCGGGGAGTGAAATTTAAAACTAAAACAGAAACTGCACAAAGTGTTCTCTTGAATCAAATTACGGCCATGAGTTTTCTTTGGGGGGGGGGGGCGTCCGTGTACGCAATAGAGAAAAATGAAGAGTTAGAACTCAATTCTTGGACAGGAAAATTATTAACATTATATAATACATTGGAGGAGGGTGAAATAGGTCCATTGTAAACTAGGAAGCCTTACTGCTGATAGCAAAAAAAAGGGACCTCAATGCTACTCTTTCCAACTCTGGGTCTTATTTTTTGTGAAACCACCTTTTTAAAAAGCCATGCCAGTTTTAATAATGCATTTGTTAACACCACTAGCTTTGCTTTACTCCCCTTTCTCCTCCCTCTCATAATGGTGGTGTATGTAAAGTATATGTAATTTGTTAAACCTGTATGCTCGAATCATAATGAGGGTGTGCGTATACCCAATATATACACATACTGCATTGTAGAAAGTTAGCACTCACCCCTCTCCTAGAAGAATGAAATATTTTAGGAAATATTAAAAAGGCAGAGTATTATATTTCCCTGGTTGAGAAAGGAGAAATACATTTTTAAAGACAAAGCAGCTCCCTGCCCTCCCCGCTTCAGCTCCAGGGTGATGGGATTAAGACATGTCCCTCAGGACAAGATAGGATTAGCCCTCTAACCATCTAGCAGCAGGGCTCACTGCATTGCAAAATCACCTGGGGACATTATATCAGGCCACAGTTCACCCAGACTTATCTCAAACTCCTAGGATTTGCACATGACCCCTGCAGCAGCCAATAGGATACCTGCCCTTGCCACAGGAACAGGAAGCTCAAAGGCAAGACCCAGGAGCAGGTATAAATATATATATCTCTCTCCTCCATGTGGTCAGCTACTCAGGACTTCAAACCCATCTGGTCCTGTTCACCATTAAACCGTCCTTCCAAACAATCTCCATGTTTCCAGGGACTTTTTCTCCCCACTAGGAATTGAACCAGTGGTGCGTTTCAAATATTTTTACCACCGGTTTGGTGGGAGTGGCTCGGTGGGCGTGCTTTACGCACGTGTGTACCAAATGCGCACTTTTGTGCAGAGGCTTTCTGACTCACCTCCTTCAAGCCTGCACTCTTCCTGTCGCTGCGGCAATTGCTTGCCACGCAAAGCAGCTGCGCTTCAAAAGCAGGACATAAAGGTTAGTATGGGAGCCCGGGCAGGCCCAACAGCAGAACCAGTTCGGCACTACCAGTTTGGCAGAACTGGGCCAAACCGGTTAATATCACCACTGAATGGAACCCAGATGGACGTTTCTTCCAACAGTATCTTATTTCTTCTTCACTAGTGTACTAGATTGGACTGCGAATGAGAAAAGTTATGGGACAGTGAAAATTACTGTTTATGTTTTCTTCCACAAAAGTAATAAGCCGTCCAAAAATACTCTGCCATTTCATTTTCTTTGCCCACCCAATCACACACAACCTAGGATGGCTTACAAACGTGAAAAATAATATACACATAAAACTACTATAGCAATGGCTGTGCCAGGGACGGCAGAAAAAGGCTAGTATGAATTCGTACAGCATTTAGTACATAACTTTCTTTCAGAGGCCGTTCTGACTCCATCTTTTGTACACAATACTGAAGCTCCTAGACAGGCTGCAGTTTGAAATAGCAGTAGCAATAGCACTTAGACTTATATACCGCTTTACAGCCCTCTCTAAGCGGTTTAGAGTCAGCCCCCAACACTCTGGGTCCTCATTTTACCCACCTCGGAAGGATGGAAGGCTCAGTCAACCTTGAGCCTGGTGGGATTTGAACTGCCAAATTGTAGGCAGCTGGCTGCAGAGGTAGCTTGCAGCACTGCACTCTAACCATTGCGCCACAGAGATGCTGACAATCGAAACCAAAAGAAAGCTTTGTTTCCCCAAGGACCCCAAAAGAGGTTCGGAGTTCTTAGGGTGTCACACCCCTCCCCTTTCCGGCGATTACACATTCCGGAAGCTCCGCCGCGAGCTGAGTTCGGAGCGTCGGGCCCTGCTACTGGCTCCCTATTGGTTCGCGGCGCTCCAATACTTGGCGCCGAGGCTGTTTGGCTTGGGCTTTGCCAAGGGCACCTGGGTGGGAGGGGCTATGGATGACGCTGAGGAAGCCCATTGGTTGAAAGTTAGAGGCCTCCGCGGGTTTCGCGACCGTTGCTGGCCGAGAGTGAATTTGTCCGTTGGGCATGGAAGGGGAGGATGAGGCAGGAGTTCGTGAGGCTG